AGTGTGAAGTAGTGGTGGGCTCGATAGATATCGTTTTAGTTCCTCTAATGCCTGTTGGCATTTGGGGGTCCAAGCGAAATCGTTCTTCTCGAAATGACTTCGATATGATGATCTCGAAATGAATCGGCCTAAGGCTGCAATCTATCCCGTTAGCCTTTGTACAACTTTCACGCTGTCCACGATGGTGATGTCTTCGATGGCCTTGATTTTATCGGGGTTAATCTCGATTCCCCTATTTGACACCATGAAGCCGAGGAACTTGCCCGAACCGACCCCGAAAGCACATTTTTCGGGGTTGAGCTCCATGTTGTATTTCCTCAAAATCTCGAACGTTTCCTGCAAATGGGTCAAATGGTCCTCTGCGCGCAGGGACTTAACTAGCATGTCATCAATATAAACTTTCATTGATTTACCTATTTGTTCTTCAAATATTTTATTTACTAGGCGTTGGTAAGTAGCCCCCACATTTTTTTAGCCCGAAGGGCATCACGTTATAGAAATATGTTCCATATTTGGTGACAAATGAAGTCTTTTCCTGGTCCTTCGGGTTCATCTGGATTTGATTATACCCGAAATAGCCATCGAGAAAAGTGAGGATCTCGTGGCCGGCCATGGCATCGATCATGCAATCGATGTTGGCCAGCGAAAAAGAATCTTTGGGGCATGCTTTGTTCAAATCCTTATAGTCCACACACATTCTAAGTTTGTTCCCTTTTTTGGGCACTACAACTACATTGGCTAACCATTTGGGATATTTCACCTCCCGAATGGACCCTATCTTGAGAAGTTTGGTTACCTCGTCCTTTATGAATGCGTGATTTACCTCATATTGGGGTCTTCTCTTTTGCTTCACCGGTCCGAACCTAGGGTCCAAGCTTAGCCGATGCGTCGTTATGTCCAGTGGGATCCCTGTTATATCTAAATGGGACCAGGCAAAGCAATCAATGTTATCGATAAAAAATTGAATAAGTTTCTTCCTGAGTTCGGGGCTCAACCCCGTTCCCAGGTATACCTTCCATTCGGGCCAGTGCTCGATTAGTGTGACTTGCTCCTGTTCCTCAATCGTTGATTTGGTGGCGTCAGAGTCATCAGGAATCACGAAGGATCGAGGGATCCTCTGATCATTATCTTCTTCGATCTTCTAGTTATCTAGTTGTGTCAAAGCCGATGTCTGTGATTGCTATTTGGTATCTCGTTCCCCTTCTGAGCCCGATCCCTTTACTGGCGAAGGCGAGGATATTGGTTTTGCTTTCTCGACGGCGAACATTTCTCTTGCATACACTATTTTGACTCATCTCGATGTTGGAAATTTGAGGACCTGGTGTAGGGTCGAAGGTACAGCTCTCGTGTTGTGGATCCATGGCTTTCTGAAAAGGGCGTTGTATCTCATGTCGGCTTTGATCACGTGGAACTTCATTTTCTGGATGGTTCCGGCCACATTTATTGGTAGAATTATCTCGCCTTTGGTGGTTTCACATGCCATATTGAATCCGTTTAGAACCAGGGTTGCGGGTACGATCCGGTCCTGCAGGCCGAGCTGTTCTACGACCTTCAATATGATGATGTTGGCCGAGCTACCTGGATCAATCAATACACGCTTAACTTTAGTTTTATTCATGAGTACGGATATTACCAGTGCATCGTTATGAGGTTGTATGACTCCTTCTGCATCTTCATCATTAAAGGACAAAGTTCCTATGGGTATGTAATCTTGAGTTCGAGATCGCTTTTCTCTCACAATCGATGTCTTAGTGCGTTTAAGCACTGGTCCCTGAGGGGTATCGGTGCCGCCGATGATCATGTGAATGATGTGCTGTGGTTCTTCTTATTCGTTTTGCTTGCCGAAATCCCTGTTTTTAAAATTGTTCTTCGCCCTATCGCTAAAAAATTCTCGAAGGTGCCCTTTGTTGAATAACCGGGCTACTTCCTCTCTTAGTTGCCTACAATCTTCCGTTCTGTGGCCATGGGTGCCATGATATTCGCACATTTGATTGGGATTCCTCTGGGCAGGATCGGTCTGCATGGGTCGAGGCCATTTAGTGTCTTTGACGCGTCCGATAGCCGATACGATGGCGGATGCATCAATGCTGAAGTTATATTCCGATAACCGAGGTGCTTCCTTAGATCTGGCAGGCCTATCGAACCTACTTCTATTCATCAGCCCTCAGGACCCTTGACCTCGATCACTTCTTTTGTTATTTTGCCCGAGGTTATGTATCGATTCACCGACTCTGTGGCTTCTATTGTACGGTTGGTATTGATCCCCGATCGGACCTCGTTCTCGATTAGTATCCCTTCGAATAGCGGGTTCAGACCCCAATTGATCATCTTCGACCCTAATTTTCGATTGGTACCGATTGTGCACGTCGGCCCACGTGATGGTTGGGTATTCGATCAGGTTATGCTTTAATCGTCGTGAAGCCATCGAACTTCGTTCGTTCAAACCTTGAGTGAAAGCCCGAACATCCCAATCGTCTGTGACTGGTGGCAGGTCCATTCATTCCATTTGAAAATGAGATATGAACTCCCTCAGCATCTCGTTATCCTTTTGTCTTACCTTGAAGAGGTCCGATTTCCTTGTTGTGACTTTTATGGCGCCGGTATGTGCTTTCACAAAAGAATCTGCTAACATGGCGAACGAGTCGATGGAATTTGGTGGTAGGTTGTGATACCAAATCATTGCCCCCTTCGAGAGGGTCTCTCCGATTTTTTTAACAACACAGATTCGATTTCATCGTCTTCTAAATCATTGCCCTTGATGGCACATGTGTAAGAAGTGACGTGCTCGTTGGGATCGGTCGTTCCGTTATATTTGGGAATTTCGGACATACGAAATTTTTTGGGGATTGGTTTTGGGGCTGCGCTCGAGGGAAAAGGTTTTTGCATGAATTTTTTTGAATCCAAACCTTTTATCATTGGTGAGCTCCCGAGATCTGATCGACCCTAGAGTTATAAGTTTCTACTTTTTTATCGTTGGCTTCGACTCGCTTTGTGAGTTCCTCGAGCAATTTAGCAATTTCGGGAGTAGTCCCCGATTCTTGCTCATTTGACTTCACTATGGCTGGTTCCGTTCTGTGGGTGATTTCTCGAGGTGGATTGGGCTCTGGCCTGCTTTGTAGTTAGATTTGGCTCTGCAACTGAGCTATTGCTGCCTGTTGGGCTTGCAATATTTCGAAAATCATACGCAAGCTAACGCCGTTTTCCTCGACGTTATGGGTATCTCGAGCCACAGACCGAGTGCCACCTTGGATGCTATTCTCGGGTTCAGCATGTAGGTTTGTCTCAATGGCTACATGCAAATTGATATCTATTGGCGCTCCGATTCGAGCTCCAACGGCATTTACAAGTGGTCTTTTAGTACTGGGTGTCAAGTTGTTATTTTCATCTTGAAGACATGCCCCGTTGTCGATTGGTGAAGCCATTTGATTGATAGTTAGTCGTAGCTAATCCAAAATTCAAGATATTTTCGGAAACAAGCGCAAAACACAATGGCGTGTTTTTTCAGATTCGTATCAAATAACCACTGTTATCCTTAGCCCCACAGTAGGCGCCAAACTGTTTACCCGAAAAACGGATAGAGTTGAATTTATTCTTAGTTCTAAGGATATGTGATATAGCTTAATACAAATCGTAAGGATAAAAGAAAATATCAAATATGGATCGCAAAGAATGCAAAATAAACAAAGTTGTAAAGAAGGCGATTTTTAGGACTAAGCAACATGAATCAGTTTACGAGGCTTAAAAAAGTAACTCTTGAATATAAGAGGATATGGTGCTTGAACTACAATGTGAGCTCCCAAAAAACTGCTCTTACATAAATGATAACTCCCCGCCTTTATAGTAGAGGGATCTTACTTTAAATATAATTAAAAATACTCAGTGGGAGATCCATGATAAATCAGCTTTTCCACAATTCCTGCCAAGATTCTCTCCTCTAGTGGGGTTGCAACGGCTTTTGTCTGTGAGCTCGATCTTGACTCGAGCTCTCGATCTTGGCTTGAGCTCTATTCTGACTCGGACCCTTGAATTGATTCGGGGTCAATGTTGATCGGTCTATGAATCATAAGCTTGATAGCTTTACTTTTCATCATAGTTCGATTTGGATTCGAGCTAGATAATGATATTGAACTCGACATTGTTCGGCCCCTTGGGTTCGAAGCTTGTTTGTACCATCTTCGGAACCCATCTCGACGTCTCACTTCGATCGATTATCTTTCGAACTCGATCAGACGTACGAAGGCTGAAATCTATTTCGACCGTATACAATAATATATTTGATTCAATAGGAACTTTTAACAATGTTAGATACTTCTTAAGTTTAAGATTATGAGATTAGTGACAAGCATTTTTAGCTATCAAAAAATTATTCTCATATTTAAAATCAATTTTGTTTTAAAATCTTCTTTTAACATTCTTGCCTAATCAAAGTGTAAAATCTGAACGGTAACTAGATGAGGATGACACTGCAGATTGACCCAGACGATGGACGCTAGAAAACGTCCACACACAGCAAACTTTAATTTAATTCCAGCAAATATATTGAGATTATAGAATTGCAGTATATTAGTGTATTGTATTTATCAGTTAGTCAGTTGAGATCAGTTGGTTAGTTACAAGGGTAGTTTGGTAATTAGCTGTCATTAGTTTTGTTTTCTATATACGTGTGTATATGTACTGAAGTTAGTGGATAAAATAATACACAAAATATTTTCCTAATTTCTTCTTCTCTCGAACCTTCCCCTTCTCTCTCTATGGAAGCTTGAGGACAGCCAACAATGGAGGTTGGTCTGCCATGCTAGCTTCAGTTTCGACATAGTATCAGAGCATAGCTCTAATTTCTCAACATAAATCCTCCTAAATTTCATCAATTTCTCTTCTCAATTCTCAAAATCGGAATGTACGAGCTTACGCCTTGACGGAAGGGTTTCTGAAAATGTTCATCTAATTTCTTCAAATTGAGTAATCAATTTCTCCGATCTTTTAATAATCCACTTCAATCGATGGCTGGAGACAAGGAAACTCAAAGTACAGCTGGTAATTTGGATTCGACTAACCCAGTGTACATGCACCCATCGGAGAGTGCCGGAACGACGCTAGTGCCTGTTGTTTTTGACGGAACTGGATACAGATCCTGGAGAAGAGGAGTCCTTAGGGCTTTTTCAGTAAAGAACAAAGTTGGATTCATCACAGGAAAGTGTAAGAAGCCTAACACTGATGAAGCGACCTACGATCAATGGGCTCGTTGCAATGATATGGTTACATCGTGGATTTTGAATTCACTCTCAAAGGATCTAGCTGATAGTCTACAATATGTCAACGACGCTAAGGAGTTATGGCAAGAGTTAGAAGACAGATATGATCAGACTAATGGAGTGAAATTTTATCAACTGCAAAAGGAAATTAGTGACCTTAGTCAAGGGGCTTTGGACATCACAGGGTATTACACGAAAATAAAACGACTTTGGGAGGAATTGAACACCTTGAATGCACATGCACAATGCAATTGCCAATGTACTTGTGGTGCAAAGGCAAATATGCATAAAGCTGAGCAGGATCGAAGACTAATTCAGTTCCTAATGGGCCTAAATAAAGTTTATACAGTTGTGAGAGGTAGTATATTGATGATGAATCCATTGCCCAGCATAGCTCAGGCTTTCTCTATCCTTATCTAGGAAGAAAAACAGAGATAAGTCAGACCAAATAACAAATTAGTTATGGAGTCCACCTCATTGAGTGCAAATGGACCCGGCAATGCCAAGTTCAGGACCAATTACAATCCAAAAGGAGGCAGTACTGGGCCAAACCCATACAATCCAAACAAATCAAACTATCCACCTGCTAAGTCTCGGATGTTCTATGACTATTGTAAAAAGCCAGGACACACCAGGGACAACTGTTACAGAATTCATGGTTTCCCACAAGACTTCAAGTTCACAAAAGGGAGAAATGCAGCATCTGCTGCAAATGTTCGTGTAGATTGTGAGGAGATGGAAGAAGGAAATCAAAGTCAGCGACTTCAGAGCCTAACAAAGGAGCAGTACAATCAGTTACTTAGCTTACTAGAGAAAATTCCAGGAAGAAACACATGAGAAGGTCTTGACAACAACATGACTTGTGGAGCTTCAAACTTCGCAGGTATTCTAGCTTGCTCTACCTATAAAGAGATTGCTGAAACAACCGTGTGTAGATATTCTAAATCAATTGTTGACTTGTGGATATTAGATAGTGGAGCCTCAAATCATATGACATATAGAAAATCCTTTTTAAAGAATGTTAGAACCTAGCCCTATCCTTTCCTAGTTACCTTACCTAACAAATATAGAGTGAAAGTGACAGAAATTGGAGATGCATCTCTTGGTCCTATGCTAACCTTAGTTAGAGTATTATATGTGCCTACTTTCAAATACAACCTCATCTCTATTCATTCCTTAACTGATTACCTCAATTGCATAGTTAACTTCAGTAAATACATTTGCATGATGCAGGCCCCTTCAATGAAGAGGGCTCTGGACATTGGTAAGGCAAGGAATGGATTGTACTTCCTTTGCCCTGAGTGTCATGGGTGTTCAGAGTCTGGTTCATTTTCTGTTCCTGTCAATCTTTGCTCTCATTCTTGTTTTCCTTCATTGACTGATGTTGTGAATAAGTCATCTCAGTCACATAACAATGTCAAAGAAAATACTCTTCACTCAAGCAATAAAACTGACTCTTCCTTTAATGTGAGTTCTCTTTTGATGTCTTCATCATCTCATAAAAATAACAATGAGCATCTATGGCATAACATGCTAGGCCATGTACCCTTTGTAAAAATGAGAACTATCTCCACTATACCTGTTGAATTTTCCCATAAGAAGCCATTCACTTGCCATGTCTGTCCCATGGCAAGGTAGACAAGGTTACCTTTTGGCTAAAGAATTTCATCCACTACCAAAATATTTGAACTCTTTTACATAGATTTATGGGGTCCTATCACACAACCACACATGACAATTACAAATACTTTCTTACCATGGTTGATGACTTTAGTAGATCAACCTGGACTCATCTCTTAAGTAGCAAAAGTAACACTCTTCAAGCCATCAAAGCTCTTGTTTCCATGATTGAAAATCAGTTCAGTACATTAGTCAAGACTGTTAGGTCAGATAATGGGCTGGAATTTGTGAACAATGAAGCCATGCTATTTTTTCAAGAGAAAGGTATAATCCACCAGAAAACTTTCCCATACACACCACAACAAAATAGTGTGGTTGAGAGAAAACATAAATACCTTCTAGAAATAGCTAGAGCCTTACTTTATTAATCCAAATTACCAATGAGATACTGGGGAGAGTGTATACTAACTGATACATATTTGATAAATAGACTTCCTTCTTCAATTCTCAACAATAAATGCCCTTTGAGCTCCTTTACAATAGAAAACCAACCTATTCACATCTTAGAAGCTTTGGTTGCTTGTGTTATTCTACCACACTCAAAACTCACAAAGATAAATTTTAACCTAGAGTCACTCCTCATGTGTTTGTAGGATATCCCTTTGGGACCAAAGGATATAAGGTTCTTGATTTAGCCACAAAGAGGGTACATGTGTCTAGAGATGCTATGTTTCGTAAAGATGTTTTCCCTTTTGCCATTTCACCTGAACATTCCTCTTTCCCTTCGGTGTTGCATATGATAAACCACAATTTCCCATGTCCCAATTCCACAGTAAATACACTTGATGATTATTGTAATCATGATAGAGATGCATCAACTTCTGTCACTGAAAGTCCTATATCTGATACACCAGACATTAACCCCTTGTCAAATTCTACAAGCACACCAAATCATATTTCACATGTAAGCCTAAATCCAGCATCAAATGTTTCACTTGTAGAACACTCAGAACTCCACACAACACCCTTCAACCAAGCACCACATAACATAGAGCCTAATATTGATCAACCAACCAATCAACATAGAAGATCAAGCAGGACACTTAGCACACCCTCACACCTTAAAGACTATGTCTATACATTGCCCAATTTACAACCAAACAGTCACTTAAACAACAACACAAACCTTGAATGTCAATTAGCTCCTACTTCACTTACTCCTAATTCACTTATTGCCCTTTTCTCCAACAACCATTCTGTGTCCTTCAACATATTGAGCCATGATAGCCAGCAATTAGTTAAGAACATTTCACATGAGTGTGAACCATACTCTTATGAGGAGGCAGCCTTGAATCCTGCCTGGCAAGTAGCAATGACACAAGAATTTAAAGCTTTATATGCTAACCATACTTGGGATCTAGTTAAGTTGCCTGCAGGAAAGAAGGCCATAGGATGCACGTGGGTGTACAAGATAAAGAACAAAGTAGATGGAAGTGTGGAAAGATACAAAGCAAGGCTTGTGGTAAAGGGATACACACAACAAGCTGGGATTGACTATACAGAAATTTTCTCCCCAGTGGTGAAGATGACCACTGTTAGAGCCCTGATTAGCACTGCAGTAAAGAAATGATGGACCTTTATCAGCTGCATGTGAATAATGCATTCCTACATGGATACCTACATGAAGAGGTATACATGGAAATCCCACAGGGTCTGAAGGTAGAAGACACACAACTTGTGTGCAGATTAAGGAAGTCTTTGTATGGCCTAAAATAGGCTAGTAGACAGTGGTATGACAAGATGACAGAGTCCCTATATTCTAGAGGTTTCAGGAATTCAACCAATGATTACTCTTTGTTTTACAAAAAACAGGGTGAGTCATCAGTTTTTGTAGCTGTATATGTTGATGATGTGATCCTTACTGGGACTAATCTTGAGGAAATTAAGGCACTGAAGACTTACTTACATAATCAGTTCAAAATAAAAGACTTAGGCAAATTACACTACTTCTTGGGGCTAGAGATGCTTTACAAGGATGATGGAGTGTTGATCTCCCAAAGGAAGTTCACCACTGACCTACTGAAAGAGTATGATTGCTTGGGGTATTCTGCTGTTTCATCTCCACTATATTCTTCAACCAAACTGAGGGCTGAAGAGGGTACTTTGCTGTCTGACCCATCCTATTATAGAAAACTAGTTGGGAAACTCAACTTTCTCACAAACACAAGGCTGGATATTGCATACAGTATACAACACCTAAGTCAATTTATGCAGGCACCAAGAGAGACTCACCTGAAGGCTGCTATACATGTACTCAGGTATCTGAAGAATGATCTTACTCTAGGCATTTTTCTGTCAAATGATCCCTCTTACAAGGTCACAACCTATTGTGACTCGGATTGGGCAGCATGCCCTGACTCAAGGAGATCTGTAAGTGGGTATCTAGTGCTCTTTGGAGGTAGCCCCATTAGCTGGAAATCAAAGAAGCAGACTACTGTCTCACTATCTTCTGCAGAAGCAGAGTACAGATCACTGAGAAAGGTGGTTGGAGAGCTGGTATGGGTGCAGAGATTGTTGGAGGAACTCACAGTTCCATGTACTAATCACATTCAAGTGTTTTGTGATAGCCAAGCAGTTGTACACATTGCTAGGAACCATGTGTTCTATGAAAGGACAAAGCACATAAAAGTCGATTGCCACTTTATGCAAGACAAGCTACATGATGGTCTAATTACGCTTAATCACATTTCTACTCATGATCAACTAGCTGACATTTTAGCAAAGGCTCTCACAGGAATTAAACATTCAGACCTTCTAGACAAGTTAGCAGTGAGTTCCTCACCTCCAACTTGTGGGGGGNGGACGCTAGAAAACGTCCACACACAGCAAACTTTAATTTAATTCCAGCAAATATATTGAGATTATAGAATTGCAGTATATTAGTGTATTGTATTTATCAGTTAGTCAGTTGAGATCAGTTGGTTAGTTACAAAGGTAGTTTGGTAATTAGCTTTTGGTAATTAGCTGTCATTAGTTTTGTTTTCTATATACGTGTATATATGTACTGAAGTTAGTGGATGAAATAATACATAGAAAATTTTCCCAATTTCTTCTTCTCTCGAACCTTCCCCCTTCTCTCTCTATGGAAGCTTGAGGACAACCAACAGTGGAGGTTGGTCTACCATGCTAGCTTCAATTTTGACAAATCACAACATCCTTCCTTCGCCACACAACCAAACTCCACATAGAACCAAACACGAGAAACTTCTAGAATATACAAAATAATACTGTTGATGATAAGATAGAGTTGATAAGGTTATCACATTATTTATAATATCTATATTTATATTATATTAAAAGACCTTAAATAATATATCGTTCGTCTTTTTTATTCTTTGGAAAATAGTCTTTATTTCAAAGAACTCGCAACTATCTCGTTTACAATATCAAATTCACCTAACTTCAGAACAAAGTTTGCCAGATTCTGGTGAGAGATAAAAAGGCATTGCAAATCATTGCGGAGAAAACCACTTATCACAAGGTTCTCAAGTAGAGGGAATTTGTTGATAAAATGCTTCAATTTCCTTTCGTGGAGACAAACATTTTTCAATGTCAAATTCTTTAGCGTAAATATGGAGGCGATCTGTACTTCGCACTTCCCCACCCTAAAGTAGGAAAACACAAGAGATTCCAACTTTCTAGACTCTATTTGTACTTCATCACAAGTAAGACTTTCCACCGTCAAAATTTTTAGGGAAGGATTTAGAACAACTAGTTCAAAATTTTCTATCCAAGTGTAACAATCCGACCGGTCGTTTTGAGCTTTAGCGTTCCATTCGGTGGTTTGAGACTTTGAGTAGCTTTATATTATGATTATGACTTACGTGTATGATTGGTTTCAATTTTTGAGCGGTTCGGGATTGATTTGAAGAATGATTCTCGTTTTAGAAACTTTAAGTTGGAAGAGTTGACCAAGGTTTGACTTTTAGGTGAACGGACTCGGAATCAGGTTTTAATTATTCCAATAAGTTTGTATAATGATTTTTGATATGTCAGCAAAGTTTGATTAAATTCCGATGAGTTTTGGATAAGTTTGGGTTGCATGGTGATTGTTTTGGTTTCGACATCGATTTGAGCATAAAGGTTACCATATTGAGCAAACGGCCTTTAATTCATGTTTCGACTAAACCATTATATCCGTATAGTAATTTTGAAACCATAGCAATTGAAATCATAAGTTTCGACATCGTATGAACAATTTATGGTCATTTTACTAAGAATTAGTTTGCTAGATTTTTCAAATTTAATTACGAAATTGCCATTGAATTCGTATTTAAAAATTTGCACTATTTCCAAATATTGAAACCAACATATCTCTTTCATTATATGATCAAATGGAGTGATTCAAAAGCCTAACTTGACTAGAATTTCATGAGGAATTCATTGGAGATATCAAAAGCGAGTTTCAAGATCGTTTGCATAAGAAACGAGACAAAACAGCTGGGCATTTTAGGCTATTAATGTTGTTGGAGTTTTTCTCATCTTGAAAATTTGGGATTGGGTGAATTCAAGGATGTTCTTCAAATTTCTTCCATGGGGTAAGTGTTTTCTACTCGATTTTGATTAAATTCCGTGATTCCATCTTCGTTTTTAGCATTTGATTGATGATTTCAAAAGAGAAATTGGAGATTATTGTCTAAAATTTTCTAAAGTGAATTTTTGAGTTTTGAACACCGATACAGAGTCGGAATTAAGTGAAATTAGTATGGTTGTAGTCATAATTAAATGGGTTATCGGATTTTGTGAGTTTGGTCGGGTTTTGAGGTGCGCGTCTGGGTATGACCTTTTGGTTGACTTTGGGTAAATGTGTAAAGATTCGACTTTTATCGATTTGGTTTGCTTCCTATGGCATTATTGTAATGACCCGACCGGTAGTTTTGAGAGTAATAGCCCTGATCCCCTGTTTACTGCTTCCCTCGTATCGTTTTCTGCTTATGTGACTTGTCGGGAGGTTCTGCTTATGGTTTCAGAGTGATTTGGGGACACTTAGTCCTTAAAACAGGAGTTTGAGTCCTAGGATTTTGACCGTAGTTGGAGCTGTGTGAAGATGGCTGTAACGACCCGGCCGGTTATTTTGAGTGTATTAGCCTCGATCCCCTATTTACTGCTTCCCCTGTATATTTTTTTGCTTATGTGACTTGACGAGAGGTTTTGTTGTGGTTTCAGAGTGATTTGAGACACTTAGTCCCTAAAACGGAAGCTTAAGTTCTAGGATTTTGACCGTAGTCAAAACTATGTGAAGATGACTCCGAAATGGAGTTTCATCAGTTCCGTTAGCTCCGTTGGGTGATTTTGGACTTAGGAGCTTGTCCGGATTGTGAATTGGAGGTCTGTAGCTGAATTAGGCTTGAAATGGTGAAAGTTGAATTTTTGGGAAGTTTGATCGGAAGTGTACTTTTTGATATCGGGGTCGGATTCCGATTCCGAAAGTTGGAGTAGGTCCGAAATGTCGAATATGACTTGTGTGCAAAATTTGAGGCCAATCGGACGTGGTTTGATAGGTTTCGGCATCGATTGTGGAAGTTTGAAACTTTGAAGTTCATTAGGCTTGAATCGATGTGTAATTCGTGTTTTAGCATTGTTTGATGTGATTTAAAGGCTCGACTAAGTTCGTGTGATGTTTTAGGATTGGTTGGTATATTTGGTTGAGGTCCCGGGGGGGCCTCGGGTGAGTTTCAAATGGTTAAATTATCATTTTTAGACTTAGAAGATTTTCTTGTGCGGGGCTGGTTCTGGTGTAACCGCACCTGCGCAAGGCTGACCGCATGTGCGAGCCCGTGGGTGCGAGCAATGGGGCACAGGTGCGGGGCTAGGAAAATTGGCTAGTGATTGCCGGTGCGGTGTTAGGGCCGCAGAAGCGGAGTCGCTTCTGCAGGGGATCGATCGCAGAAGCGGACGAGTGTTTGGGGAGGCCTGTCCGCAGAAGCGGATGTATTGGCGCAGATGCGCACCCGCAGAAGCGGGATTTGGACCGTAAAAGCGGGAGTGCCGCAGGTGCAGGAGAGTCGACCGCAAGAGCGAAGGAACCACATATGCGGGAATGTTGTCGCTTCTGTGACGCTGCAGATGCGGCTAAGTGACAGCATAAGCGGAAATGCTGGACAGAACACATAAATGCAAGGATTCGCAATTTTTGCTCATTTTAAACATTTTGAGCTCGGGTTTGGCGATTTCTTGATAGCATTTTCGAGGGATTCCTTGATGTAAGTCCCTTGTGCTTATTTTTTATCAATAATCTTGCTTCCCTATTTATTTTTTCACCTAGTTAGTGTGTATTTAAGGTGGAATTTGGGAGTTTGAGGCTAGGGATTTGGAGAGTTTGATTTGAGAATTTGAGGGTCGAGTTGATGTCGGATATTGGTAATCTTTGTATGGGTGAACTAGTGGTTGAGAGGGTGTTCGTATTTTGTGACTTTTTTCCGATTTTGTGATGTGGGCCCGGGTCGACTTTTTGGGCCGAACTTTCGATTCTTTGCTAAAGTCATAGATTTATTATTTAATTTAGTTTCTCGTAATTGTATTCATGATATGTAATTTCTTTTGGCTAGATTTGGGCTAGTCGGAGTCGGAAAATCGAGGGAAAGGCATCCTTATCGATTGATTGAGCGAGATTTGAGGTAAGAAGCTTGCCTAGCCTTGTGGGTGGAAATCTCCTTAGGATTTGGTACTGTTGTGATATATGAGCGACATATACGTGAGGTGACGAGTGCGTACACGGGCTATTTGTTGTAAACCCAATTTTTACTGAGTAGTAACCTATTTTTATCCTAATTGAGTTATACCAGCATGTGTAGTTATTCTGTTTAGTCTAATTTCACATGTCTACGTGCTTTAACTGTTTATTTGAACTTTGTGCAGCATGTCTAGTTGATTTTCCTGTTTCTCCTTGATTTTTATCGGTCTTAACTATAGGGTTCTTGCTGTTAACTGTTGTAATTAACGGTTGAGTTGTGTGTTTACTTTTGAGACTACGAGGCGGTACCTCGGGAGTTCTCCCTGCATATTTAATTTTGAGACTACGAGGCGGTACCTCAGGAGTTATCCCTGCATGTTTACTTTTGGGACTACGAGGCGGTACCTCGGGAGATCCCCCTGTACATTTACTTTTGAGACTATGAGGCGGTACCTCGGGATATCTCCTCGCATATTTACTTTTGGGACTACAAGACGGTATCTAGGGAGATCCCTTGTTGAGTATTTACTTTTGGGACTACGAGACGGTATCTCGGGAGCACCCCTGTTGTTATCACATTGTGCTGTGTTGTTATTTCTCTGTGAATTCTTTCTGTTAAATTCTCCATTTTACTTCATTTTATTATATCATCTGTCTTATTATTATATCCAGTAGGGCCCTGACCTGACCTCGTCACTACTCGACCAAGGTTAGGCTTGGCACTTACTGGGTACCGTTGTGGTGTACTCATGCTACTCTTCTGCACATGTTTTATGTGCAGATCCAGGTGCTTATTATCAGCCACGTCATCAGTGAGCTGTGACAGTTTGGAGACTTCAAGGTATATCTACCACGTCCGCAGACTTCAAAGTCCCCCTCTATTCTCTCCGATGTCAATTACCTTATGTACTTATTTTATTAGACTCTAGTGTATAGAGATACTAGTTTCCTTTTATAGCTTGTGACTTATGATGTTTCGGGTTTTGGGAAGACTGTGTAATTCTAGAGTATTGGTTATTATACATGCCGAGCGGCATTGTTACCAGTTATTTAGTTATCTGCTGCAGTTAGCTGTTAAGTTTTACTTTCATTTTTTTTTTTGTTATTTCCGCAATTTGTTAGGCTTACCTAGTCGTAGAGACTAGGTACCGTCACGACATTTTCGGAG